AAAACCAATATCACAATAAATAACAAAAAGTTTCCCCCAGATAGTACGTAGTATTTCTACAAGATGGCGTCCAAAATTCGATTGGGTCATTATCCAAAGTGTTTCTGTTTTTTGTTGTGAATGAAAAACCAGTGTTTTGGGCTTCTGCCTATTGATGTCAAGTTCGTTATAGATTCTGGTTGAGAGCTTTGGATTTTGTTGTAAATTGAATATCAATTATAGTACGATTCGATGACGCTCTGGTGAAGGTGAAAGGGCATTTTTCAACTCAGTTTTATTTTTTTCACTACCGACAGAGGGACTTCACACCTGTAGTGAGTGCGCAGGTGATAACGCGGTAAAGTGCAATTTCAAGTGTGGATATCAACTGAAAACAATCATACAATCCGCCACTTTTTTGTGGCAGGCTGGTGTAGGCATATTCGAGTCGGCTATGGCAGCTACGAGTGTAGTAGTTTTAGATCGGGGAAACAACACTACATGCACTATCAATTTGCATGGTGAGATGTTTGAGTAAAGAAAATGTTATCGATTTCATTCATCAGTTCATCGTTATTTTTTCTTCATTATTCTTACATTGAAAATGTTCACTTAAAAAACGTACATAACCTATAAAAGTTAATTTTTTATTTGAAATTTCAGGTGCAACTGTGGTTTCCTGGCGAGTTAATAACCAAGAACAGTTGTTTGTTAGGTATATGTTTAGTAAATATGATTCCATTTGTGCTATTGTCAAAATAGTTGGTTTTCACTTGTCCAAAACATCATGTGATTGGTTATACTTATGTGAATTTAAAACATGAACTGTTTCCTATGTATATTTCTAGACATCTGAAAGTTATATGCAAAAGAAATAAACCGTAAGTATAGGTGGAATTTATCATTTTCTTGGCATGCCCATTTCCAAAAAATGCTTTACCATTTCATAGAAAATCATTTATATTTTGTAGGTGGGATGATACTTCCACCAGTGTTTCGAGATATATTGTTTTTGAACATTTTTTATTGCTTCAAAGCATCTTTAGNATCTACAGAATGGCCAATTCAGAAACTGAAAATTCTGTTAATTTCAGGATATTACGGTAAAAATCAATCAAAATGCTTCATTGTTAAAAGAAATGAGTCTTATTGACAAAGTTATTGTAGAAATAATATAATACAAAATAGAAGTATTACAGAATAAAATAGGCGTAAAAACTCGACTATATAAAATGTATAAAAATAGCGTGAAAAATAAGAAATGAATGTTTTTTACCCCTTTTATCACAGAAACATACAAAGTTTAATTTCTCATTTTTCTTGATACTTTTAGTTCTGTTTTCATGTTGAAACCTTTGGTTTTTCACATTTCATCATTTTCCTCCAAAATTGTATAATTTTGTGGCAGCTGACAATTTGTTGAAAAGAAATGCTGTAAGTGAAATGCAATACATTTTTTCAAAGATGGCCTTTTCACCAGTCTATAATGAAAAAGCAAAGAAATTAACATACTTCACAATGAAATTACTTAATATTTGTGATATTCAATTTCTTATCACGATTATTCCAACTATTTTGACAATCACCTGCATTATATATAGGCTGTCTATAAAAAAAATTTTCTCACGAAAATACTTACACTTGCAACAGAAATGTGTTACTTATATCCTTCATCTTGTGCAGCATCATTGATTGATACCTAGTGATTTTTTTTTTTTTTTTAAAAAAAAAGCCATATTTGATGGTAAAAAAGCCATCAGAGGTGGAATTCCTTTTGTGTTTCGTAAGTGTTTCTTGTTCTGTTCTGAAATGATTTTTTCAATAGAATTCATTGTATAGCTCAGTTTGGCCCATGGACATTTGGACCCCAACATGGGTTTGCCAGAATTATTCGATGGAACTTAGAAAAAGCACCTGAAAGACTTTCAAGCGGAGATGTAGAAGCAATATTTTCCATAATGGATAGCGATTTCACACGGTCAATGTGGAACTATCCGTAGGTTTTCCTCTTTGAATTCAATATGACTAATAGAACATTGTGATAATTAATAATTTTGTAGGTTTCGACTGACTTATAGACTGATATTACGTGAAAAGGAGTTGCATTTCAACATAGCAGTATACAATCCCAGTAAGGACCTCACTTTCAGCTTCAATATGTTATTGCATACATATTTTAAAGTACCTGATGTAAGACGCTGCCAAATCACTGGCTTACAAGGATGTAATGTTATTGACAAAACCAGGGAAGGTGCTTTGTATCAAGAGGTAAGTAAAGAATTGTACAGTCCACTAGTTTTATTTATTTAT